TTATGTTTTTATCACTCAAAATTTGCTTGAACGACCTGAGGCGGCGGCGCCCGCAAAAACGCCGTGGTCCCACGTGGCCAAAAGTGCCAAAACTCGCGTTGTCGTCAACGTGTTAAAGGGGTTTCGGGGAGGGGGGAAAAAGTCACTTTTCTCATGGCGCACATCATCAAACTTTTTCGTCGCACAGGGTGCCGCTGTTGATGAAAGTTTCACGGCAAATATTCCTAAATGTCCCCCATAAGCAGAAGCAGGCCCTCCTTCACTGCCCTCACCGTCTTCAGAATATGACGTCATCTGCCATCACCGTCGAGCTCAAGGAGGCTTACCGAATCGCTCCGGCCTGAAGCTGCTACATAATTTCCTTCAACGGTTAAGCGGTGAATAGCTTCCCAGAGACAGTAGCTTCAATTATACATCATCCACTACCAGAGTTTCAGATCAGGTCGTAATGGCCCACAATCAGTTATTTCTGAACCGTACACTATGTTCCCGTGAGAAAATCTTCTGATGTCTTCCGTGTAGAAAGCTGGTATGATACCTTGCTGATAGATTGGAATGTGCTCTTTAATTTACACTTGAGATCATTTGGTTCAAATTTGGCGAAGTGTGATCAATTTCCGTTTTAAATGTGGAGTGAAGCAACTCCTTTTCGTTGCTCCCCCCCCCCCCTTGGAGTATTCCATGCAATCCTCGTGAACGCATCGCAACGCTGCCCGTCTGAAGAGCTCCGTCCACCCCGTGCAAGAATTCTCGCTATCACGGAGTAGAAAAGCTGAAGTGAGCTGTCACAAACAATTCTTTTCCGGTTTCTTTCTTTAGATTTTAAAATTTTACTCTTAAGCCTTTAACTTCACTATTAACACCTCGCTTCAAAAATAATGGCCAATTTCGGTTCAGAACAAAACACAAAAGCGGCAAAAGTGATAAGTGTAGCCTGCCAGGAAATTTGATAAAAAGATTGTTTTCTGTCATTTCCATTGAGAAAAGCAGTGCAGTATTTTACAGTACTGGTTTCAGTTAGCGAACAATCTTTTATGGAAGCTAATAGCCAAGGAATGATTTCACTCACAATATTTGGCTTGAATGGCGGAGGGACTTGTCGAGTCTCAAATCGCTTCCAATCAACACCGCGGAAGAAGGAATGTTGCCTAATGGGGCCGTCCGGGCACTCGGGCATTCCCAGTCGTGTGTTCGGATTACGATCGAATAGCTGAAATGCATGAATTTTATGAATGCTCGGAAATCAGCAGAGGTCCAGCAAACTTACAGCACTCAAGCACTTGGCTGCTTCTTTGGAGATGGTCTTCGGAAAGTATGGTCGTTCGTTAAGAATGGAATCGAACAACTCGTCTTCGCCTTCACCATGGAATGGTGACTGTCCAACTAACATCTCGTACATCTGAAAAAAAATTAAAATGTACTTTTGAAAACAGCGGCAGTAAGCAGAGATGGGCCTCGCCAATGACAGCAATTTTCCCCCAAGAGAATCGCTAAAAGTAGAGAGAGAACACTCACCAGGACTCCGAATGACCAGAAATCGACGGCTTCGTTGTACAGTTGTCCTTTGATGATCTGGAATCAATGCTCATAGTTTTTGAACGAAACCCATAGTCGGATGAGGTCGACTGACCTCAGGGCTGATGTAGTCGGGGGTTCCACAGAAAGTCGATGCCATTCCATTTTCGCGATTCATTTCCGTCTTCGCCATGCCAAAATCGGCTAATTTCACATGCCCTTCCGAATCCAAGAGAATATTGTCCAGTTTCAGATCTCTAAAAATGTAAGAGTCTAGTTAGTGTCGGAGTTAAGGATCTTGTAAGAGCTAATAGAAAGTCCGCGAAATAAGCGAACGCTGTTTCTAGGAGAACTTTTTCTTGTTTTGCTTCCCTTGGAGGCAAACTCCGCGATAGCAAGAATGAGAGAATGTGGGGTTCAAATGGGACACTGTAGGTGCTAATTGACGGGTTTGTGTCAACAGAATCGTCCGGATCCCCGCGCAAATGGTCGTAGCAGCGACATTGTGGACGAGTTTCTTTGAGCGGTAATTTAAAACTTAGAAGTTTACAAGGGAAGCCGCAGGCAGGCCTCATCCATTTTGTAAATTCAACTGTTCCGCTCTGCAAAAAAGATTAGCCGGCATCGCGTAACGCCGATATCAAGGCCGCTGCGCGTACGCGGCAGTGCGACGACCGGACGATTCTGTTGACGTTTCCCCTTATTGACTTGCCAGAGAAGGATAAAATTAGAGAAACCACTGAACCTAAAAGGTCGTTCTTCTTTTGAGTAGTAGAGGAGTCTAAGCGGCAAATGTTCTCGAAGCAACCGGCCGCCGAAGCCAGAGAGGACGGACTTAAACGAGGAGCCAAGGATAACCCAACTGTGGGTATGCATGGACGCTCGAATGGAGAATTCTAAGCTTCTAGTGCCTTCTCAACGCTATTAGAGTCGTGGATCTCTCTCTTTACGATCGCGGACCAAGCGACATTACTGGAGAGAGGGATTGATAATAATGCTATGATTGAAAACTGCCTTACCGGTAGATGATGTTGTTCGAGTGCAGGAACTGCAGGGCTACGATGATCTCACAGGCATAGAATCGAGTTCGATTCTCGTCGAATTTCTTCACTTGCTGGATGTGATGCATTAGATCTCCGCCATTCAGATATTCCATGACAAAGAACAGGTATTCCTGAAATTCCATCGTAATCAAAACAATGACTGACAGCACAGAGAAATAACTAATAACTGCCTTACAGGTTTGGCTGTAACAGTGAACTTTGACCGCCTTTTCAGTTTTAATCGATTTCATTATGTTTTCCATGCAAAAATGGGATGAAACTCGTTCACAGATATTGGGCCAAATAACGACGAGGGCGGAAATGGTTTAGGGGCGACTGCCGTTGTTTATCACGCGCTTGTGGTCCGAGGATTAGACCTCAGATCGCGCCTCAACGGAACCAAGTCTTCCATCCCACTCGTGACAGAAAATGTTACAGACCGCTATGAACGCTGGCCTATCTCCAATCACCTGATGTACACTCTCCTACATTTATAAAGGAAACAGTTTAGTTTTGGGTAAAATACGCTCAGGTAGTATACAGGGGAACACTAAATAGATGAGTTCATTCACAACCGAGATTCAAGACTGGAGCTATCAGCGCTTCAGAATCCCCTTAGGTCAAACAGGC